GTGGACTGCCCCCGGGGGGACTCGGAGAGGTTTGGGGCAGGCGTGGGGCGGGGAGCAGGGCAGCTGGGGGAGGAGGCTCCAGGTTTAGGAACCCAAGCGCCAGCCGACCCAACGCCAGCACGAAGAACACTGGGGGCAGGAGGGGAAACTGAGGCAGGGAGCTGCGTCTGGGGTTCTTTGTCGTCCATCTGGGGGTGCCTTGCACGGTCACTGTCATCGACCTGGAGGTGCCTTGCACACTCGTCATCGATCTGGGTATAGCTTGCATGGTCACTGTCATCGATTTAGGAACCCAAGCGCCAGCCGACCCAACGCCAGCACGAAGAACACTGGGGGCAGGAGGGGAAACTGAGGCAGGGAGCTGCGTCTGGGGTTCTTTGTCGTCCATCTGGGGGTGCCTTGCACGGTCACTGTCATCGACCTGGAGGTGCCTTGCACACTCGTCATCGATCTGGGTATAGCTTGCATGGTCACTGTCATCGATCTGGGGGTGTCTCGCATGGTCATTGTCATCGACCTGGAGGTGCCTTGCACGCTCATTGTCACCAATCTGGGTCTACCTCGCACGGCCATTATTGATCTGGGGGTGCCACGCATGGTTAACGAGGCTGATGTGCTAGAATCCGTGCAAAGTGCTACACCTGGTCACCTGAGGGGTCCACGCCTGGCAGGGGGAGTGTCGGGAGAGGCTCTCGGCACTCGGCCAGGGAGCACCAGGGTCACCGCTGTCGTGGGCAGCCAGAGAGCACGAACCCCCCACCATGCGCCCAGATGCCCCCAGACTGACAGTGCTGGGCCCCGGGAGACGCTGCTGCTTCAAATCTGAAACTCCACCGGGGTCCCTGGGACCAGGCTCTGCCACGTGCTGGGTGGGCAGCGGCGTTTCAGGCCCCAAGCCACGTGCCGTGCTACCCACACACAGGGTGTGTGTGGGGGAAACTGAGGCACAGAGCACGGCAGCAACCTGCTCAGGGTGGGACAGAATCCAACCCCCCCGAGAGCTGCTGGATTCTCAGGGGCAGGCCCCTTACCTGGAAACGAGGCGACATCCCAGAGATCTTTGCTCCTCTCCCCAGCCCTCTGCCTCTCCTGGTGGCCTCCTGCCCCGGCCTCTGCCCGCTCAGGCACCAGGCGGAAAGAGACACTCGGACCACAACGCAACTGGACAGGGTCTCAGTGGCTTCTCTTTGACAGTCAGCATCAGGCACCAAGATGATTGTGCTTTGTGTGTCTCGCACACAGAGCAGGTGACTAGGACTCGGACCACAACGCAACTGGACAGGGTCTCAGTGGCTTCTCTTTGACAGTCAGCATCAGGCACCAAGATGATTGTGCTTTGTGTGTCTCGCACACAGAGCAGGTGACTAGGACATAGACACACACACACACACACACACACACACACACACACACACACACACACACACACACACACACATACG